GGCCCCCCCCCCCCCCTCAGCCTCATTAATTGTACCTTTTTTTTACTTTTGGAGGGCAGATATAAAATATTATCAGGGGCGTACACAAAATAATGTAATTATAACGTCACGTTTTTTAATTGACTCCCCCTCCCCCCCTAACAGAATTCCTAGCTACGCCTCTGATTCCCCTTCTCCCCTCCGAGATTAAAATTATTTCCGTTTAATTAAAAGATTTTCCTATCACTGAAAAGAAAAGTTCGGTAAATCCGAACTAGTTAGGATCATATGGAACCAGGTTTTATTCGGTACGCACAACCGAATTATCCGGTCTGTTCAACCGAATTGTTCGGTTTGTGCGACCGAAACATAATAAATTCTTACAGTTCGGTGGACCGAACAGTTCGGCTAAGCAGACCGAATAATGCGGTCGTGTGTACCGAACAAAATCATGGTTCTATATGATCCTAACTAGTTCGGATTTACCGAACTTTTTTTTCAGTGACGAGAAGGAACCCGAAATTTCGAGGTTCAGTTTCTCGGCAGGCAGAAACTGGCAAAGGAGCATGAATTTTGCAGTAAAAATTTCTCCCGGAAAAGCATGTCCTGAGTAAAATATCAATACCCGGAAATGGGTAAAGAGAAATACAGATCAATTTCGTGGGCTATACAACCTTGCGGATGATGGATGATATAAAACTTATTACGTTTCGATCAAAATGCGCTCCATTTTTGCGCGCACCTTCAGAAGTTATGTACGTGCGCTGTCCTACGCATTCCAAATAGCGTGCATTTCAGAACTAAGAGAATTCGCGAGTCATGAGTCGAAAGCGAGATTGGAGATCGTAGCGCGATGTTTGAAGTATCCCTTCAGTTTTGCAGGCACTTTCCGTGGACGTTTTTCCCGCAAAGTTCAAAGTTTCGGACATTGTCTTCCGGAAGACGAGGGCTCTAATCATGGATCCGATCACAATCATGAAGCAACAAAAGTTTCTCGCCCATCCGTAAAAAATTGTTTGGTCTCTTTTCCGCTGACTCGCAGATTTTAACGAGAAAGTAACAGTTTAATGGGAAAAATCGCGCGATACAACTATCCAAGAGGATAAAATTACATACCGACAAACTGAAGGAGAATCTCTTTTCGGCTAACTCAAAGACTTTAACGCAGGAGTAGAAAAGTTTGATGGGTCAAGAGCCGAGAGCGACACTACCCCCAGTTCTGCGTCGGCCGTAGGCTCGGCGAGATGGCGCAATGCTTGAAGTATACCTACAGTTTTGCAGGCTCTCTCCGTGATCATTTTCCGCGCAAAATTCTAAGTTTCGGAAGCAGAATTACATACCTACCATACATAGAAATTCGTCGCCTATATATACCTGACATAAGGGCGTAACTACACTCCGCAATGAACTGTTTAGGTAGCCACACTCTTGAATAATTTGTTTTACCTTCTTCGTTTATGATGGCGCTTAAATAATTAAAACACAAAAATATGAGATCGGTAAAAATATTATCACCGCTGTACATAATATGTATTTAGTTGTAGTTATTTAAGCATTATTATTTTTTTAACTCAAGAGTTTAATAAAAAAAATTAAATTTGGTTTTAATTTTTTTCATTTTTAACTCTTTTTAAAATGTTCCAGTCTTAATTTTTTTTTAAAATTTCCCTAATTTATTTTTAATTCTTCTCCAACTTTTTTACTCCTTTAAGTACTTTCAATTTTTGTATCTGCTAATTTATATTTTTTGTATCATTTCAACTTTAATTATTTTTTTTACATCCTTAGCTATAATTTTGAATTTCAATGCATTCCATTTTTTTTTCAAAGAAACATAACATATAAAACTTCATTTACATGTTGATTGATTGAAAAAGAATAATAAAAAAATTAAGTATCGGATTCAAATTCAAAGACAAAATCATCATTTGCTGGCAAAATTACTCCAATGGGGGCCCTGAAATGGCATAATTACGCCACTTACACGCGCAGGAAGAATAGTGGTTCAGTCGCTAGGTTGATCACCGAGGTTAAGCTACGTCGGGCGTAGTTAGTACTTAGATTGGAGACCGCATGGGAACGAGAGCGTTGTCCACTGAAGATTGCGATGATTACTTGTTATGGGAAACTCACAGCGCAGCCCTCCCTGATCGTCAAATAGTGAATTAACGTACCTGGCGATTCGGTGATTAACTAAATTTTTGCCTCTACAGTATTTCTGGGAGTTTCCACTCCGCTTACGTCGGAGACACTTAGGTCAGTGCCACTTACATCAGTGGCACTAGCCTTTGGAACAGACCTAACACTGACGTAGCTGATCAGCGCTCGGCAGCACTGACATCAGTGTTTAGGTCTGTTCCAAAGGCAAGTGCTACTGATCTGAGCACTTGCCATTTTTACCAGGGAAGAAGCACAGATTGCAATAAGTACCAATTACCTGGTAAAAATATTGCAATTCCAATGAGTGTTGTGTATGTTGCCTAGTTCCTAATTGAAGGAGTTCAATATATTGAAACTTATTGCAATAAAATTGAAATAAGTTGCAATTTTTCATTGCATTGCATATTGCCTATCTTTCTGACACATAGAGCTCATTTTGATGATTGTTTAAAATTGGCATGGACTAAGTGATGTAAGAATATTTCAATTTAATGGTAAAAAATTACGATTTTATTGAAATCAAACAGCAACTCAATTTCAATATTTTCGTTGCATTGTGCTACTTGGGCAAAAAGAATGCATCCCTATTCTGATGAGTCCGGCCGAGATACATTAATTCTTATTATGTCCAGGGGTGATTTTTGCAAGTTAGCAACACTGTGTTCCATATTTAAAATGACTTAATGTAATTGATTACCTATGTGTGGGGAGCTACAACCTGCCTCCAATGTAGATACATTAAATGTTTCACATAAATTTAATTAGTGTTGCCGAGCAAAACTGTTTCTCAAAGAGACCTCCATCCCTTCAACATGAAAAATTTAGAACTTTAGACACGTGCGACTGTCTTAATGAGAAAATTAGTCTCAATCCTCAAAAAATGTTCTCATTAGACAGTCTCACGCACCTAAAGTTCCAAATTTTTCATTTTGAAGGGATGGAAGTCTCTTTTAGAAACAGTTTTCCTAACTATGAAGGGTGGTCTCCTTGCCTGAATACGGCCCTGAAAAAGGAAAAATGAATCCAGTTGTAACTCAATTTGGAAATTTTGAAATAAACGTGAACAATGAAAACACTTGTAAATTGCGCTCCTTTAAATGACGTCCACGTTGGTGAGTGAAACATAGGCTTTCACAACTCAAAATTTTGGGCATTTCAAGGCATAGTAAAAACTGTTTTTAACATTCCTCAATTACTGCAAGGCTAAATACGCTAATACAGCGACAAAAGAAATAATTTTGGTAAAGGAGGGACAAAAATCTGGATGCCAAGTTCATAAGTAAATCTCTTAAACTCTATCGAATAATGAACACTTTAGTTAAAATGATAAATTTTATTTCTCTTACTTACAAAAAGATAACAAATAATTTGAAATTACATTCATCACATTATGATCTTACAAATAGGACAGTTCAGAAACTACACATATATGAAAAACAAAGATGCATGATATGGGAGCAAAAATGAAGAGATGAATACTTTTAATGTTAACATGTATTTTCAGTTCCAGAATCTTGGTTCGGAATCTAATTGAAATGGTACAGCATCAAATGGCTGCTGTAAATTAAGCACAAAAAGTTCAGGTATTTCTTCTTCTTTACTCATAATGATCAAAGAACTACCTTCTTAGTGTAATGTGATGGCTTAATACATACATGGTAAAACACACATTCAGGGGGGGGGGGATCCACTCCTTGATAATCACTTATTAAGTCAACAATTTTGCAAGATTATCACTTTCTTACAAGAGGCACTAGATTAGAGATTCCTCACTTATACAAGAACAATTTGCTTAAACTTAAGTAAAACAATGCAGAGTGCTTTGAACTGATTACTTAAGCAAGTACGGTAGCATCTTTTTTGTGTGGTGCCAAAACTACCACGATTAATTACTTTGGATGAAATTGTTGCCTAGGAGAGGCTAACTCATTCAACTTTCTATGCACCATAGATTGAGTGACTCAAACCGCAGGATAATGATGAGTTTAAATTTCAAATTGAAAATTAGAAAAATCCAAATATTGGAGAAAGAACCTTCCACTTTTAAATACTTGCTTGTGTCTTTTTCATCTAGTGATAAAAATGCCAGGATGATAATACGTAAATTTAAGATTGATCATTTCTACTGTCTTTCAATCATCTCAAAAAATTTTTATGGAATGCTTGATTATGAATGTGTCCTTGAGTTACCTTACTTGATGAATATAGCACACTGCGCTACATTTCGGAATTAATTCTCATACCTGGGGGGAAGAAATTACCATGGCAAAAGGTAATCCGCAACAGTTGGTGGTATCAAAAGTTTTTGGAAGCTGAGTTACTTCTGTTTTCTTTAAGATCTTTTAAAGACTTAATTTGAAGTTTTTAAAATAATTTAAAAAGATTGGTGTTGTTCAGAATATTATCAAACTTGTGATCAAAACCAATCTGAGGGTAATTTTGTAATCTTGATCAGTTAAAGAGGGAGAGATTGGGTAAGAAACAGAAAAAGTAAACCCCCAAATTTGAGAGTTTGATACAATGGGATAGAAGATCCACTCAAGTATAAGTGTACTAAAATTCTAATCTTCTTGACACACTACAAAATGGTCATTTACACTAATCAGCTGAAAAGATGAGACAAAAAAAAAAAAAAAAAAGGAAATCCACTCACAGCCACACGCAAGTAGAAAAAAGCACCTTTCATTGGATAGGATTAAGCAGAGGTCAAAGTAATGGTGATGGTTTTTCATTTAGTTTTAATTGCAAATCTCCCTTTAAGCTGCACAGAACCATCCACAGGAAAAAGGATCTTCATTTGGTGAAATTTGTAAAGATCTTTCTTATACATATAAAATAAATTATATTATAAAGATTTGAAACAATACAATTAGTTAATTTCCCTTACAAAAAATGTAAATGGGAAATATTGAAATGTCAGGATCGAGAAATAAGTTTTACTAATTCCACCATGGAGTTGGAGTATATTCAAACCTAGTGAGAGCTTCAGAAATCTTCCATCTAAAATATTCCCTCAAACAATGTTATTAGTGAAATTTTTATATTTTTTTATATTCTTTGATAAACTGCTTTCCATTAACATACACAGCCTAACATTTATTATTGAGCTACTTGATTTATGGAAAATATATTGCTTTCATAGAATTTATGAGCTGAGAAATAAACATAAACAATCATGGCCAACATTCGAAAAACTTGGAGGTTTCCAAAAATTTAGGTTACAAGAAGTTAATGATAATATATTACATGAGTTGGATCTCATTTAGCAAAAGGGAACCAGCATGAATACAGTGTTTTCAAAATCGTGCAACTTGTTCTTTTTTTTTTAAAAAATACTTAATATGTGCATGGTATTAAACTTTGCACAATTTTTTTCCTTTAAAATTGACAATTTTTTGGTGGGAAGTGAAAACTATTTGCTACTCTGAGAGATTTTTAAGATCATTATGCAGAGGCAACATTTTTACAAAACTGCAAGCCTGCTGGTTCCTTTCTGCTGAATGCGATCCAGTTTACCCTTCTATTAGCTCTTACATTAATGATATTAAGATAAAATTATCAAGTAACAGTTAATTCGTAACATAATTGACTTCTTCCATTTCTACAAATTTAAAAATTTTACATTTAGGGGATCTAAAAGAATATATTTAGGTTGTTAATGTAAAAAATAGAAAAAGAAAAAAATTTAGATGTTCTTTAGATGAGGAATAACTCCCAACAATAATTAGAATTTGGATTAGACAAGAGTTACTAAACTTGCGACAATTGACAACATTAGGTTAAAGGACGAATATTCGACTTCATACAGACATGTAAAATTAATTTTAAAAACTTTAAAAATCCTGTTCTTTGCTATTAAAGTCGATATCATATTCTTTCTAGACACAAAGTATGGTGACAAAAACAACCTCATTTCACTACCTGATACTCAAGAATAATTACTCTTTCTTTCTCGATAATGAAGTAAGGTTCTTCAAAGTTAACTTTCAATCCAAAATATTTTATAAATATAAAAAATTATAAAGGTAGGAGCAAAACTTTAAAACTTATTTTTGTGTTTAAAATTTGATATTCAAGCTTTTTGTCCACAATATAAGTCCAATCCTTGAAAAAGATTATGACAATATTTTAACAAGAAAATAAATTCTTTTTTTCTCTTTCTACTGAGCAAATAAATGTCTCTTGCTGAAAATTCAATCAGTCACTGTGCCTAAACCATTGACTTTTGAATGTAGAAACTCATGAGACTAAGTACAGTAATATCTGAATTACCCAACAAATTGTGGCAGACTGCACCGGATAAATCAATTTTACTTGAGAACATACAAAATCACATAAAATATGTGTAGAAAAAACATGGATTCCTCATTCAATCAACTTGACAAAGAAATACATTATCATATGCATGCAGGAGTGTATCCCTGCCTGAAACTTTTTATCAGTCGCAATCGGCTTGCCTATCTTGGTTTGCTCAGCTGCCAGGTTTCTCTTCGAGAGACAAATATTGGTGTGTCGGCAGTGCCTCATCACTACAGCTCATAACTGGAGCGCCGAACAAGTGAAGGAAAGTTAATCTAGGTATTACTGTAATTTAGAGAAGGTTTATGACCTAGCCTCTTTGCTCCTAAATTGTAACAAAGGCCTACAGATAGCAGATAGAATTATCTTCCTAAAAGAGACACCTTTGTGCATGAAAAATGTACATGGTCTCTAAACAATTTTGTGACATATTTTGAGAACCGTTCTTACATCAAAATTGGACTTATGGATAACAAAAAAAAACAATGAACTAAAAAATTAAATAAATACAGATTGAAGTCGAAAGCTCTGATGCTCTGACTGGAGGAACAAACTGATAGCACCTCAGACTGATTGCATTGTGAGGTCGAACTGGTCTTCTGGGTCAGGGTCAAGGAGCTCAATGTGGTAAGTTGCTGCATGAAGAACAACCACAAACATGGAAGCACCTAAAAACCAATAAAACAGCTTGATTCACATGTGTAAAAAAACAGCAGATGATTGAAAAATACACAAGATTTGGACGTCTGATTTTTTCCCCCTCAAAAATTCTTATGCAAGGCTTGAAATCCACCCTCTTTGTTTGCTCCCCTTAGAGGTGAATTTTATTTTCCATGGTTGCCGCATTTATTTTTATTAATAAGTGCAAGAACGGCTACCAGATAAGTGGGTATTTTTAGTTTATCTTCAATTTTATTTTCTTCTCCTTCCGCAATTGAAATCACCACATCAGCAGGGAATTGAATGCCCAACAGAGAAATCTAATAGAGACTGCAAGAGGGCACTGCAAGGCTCAGTAACAAAGAGTTGTGAAGTTATGCAAAAAATCACAATCTTGCTCAGAAGTTTGCGACTCTTCCCATTCACAGTTTCTCTCTATGACTTTCCCAATTTTACTGGTTGCTAGACGCCTACCCCGCCTTAGTTATCTATATGATGAACTTTTGAATGCTACCATCTAGACATCAATGCAGACTGTTTATACACAGCCAAGTTTCGGTTTTTGGCAAAAGGTTTGTTGCAAGAGATGTAGCCAAATACATTTTTTTTTTACAGGTGAAATCGCAAGAAAAATTATGTTAGACAAGTCAAAAATCTCTGAAATTCATTCCTTAGTGTGCAATCTGAGTAGTTCGTAACATGCTTTTTCAAGTTTCCTGCATCTGCTTGCAGTTTATCTCAGTCACCACCAACCAGGTTTGCACAGATGGGAGTCAGAAAAACTAATCTAAGTAAACAAACGATTTCACTAACTTTTTCTATAGTATGGTTACAATCGTTTTCAAGATTTTCTTTCCTTTTCCTTTCTTTATTTTGCAAAAAAAAACTTAGAATGAATTGAAATCTTACACATGAAGAATTTTTAACAGTTTTCTCGATTGTTTGTTCATTTAGGTTAGGTCTCTTTCCGGGCAAACCTGACTGCCAGCCACCACCAAAAACTGCCCGCATACGCAGTGAACTTGAAAGAGTGTTAAAAACTTAGCAGATTGCACCCTAAGGTGTGGATTCCAGACATTTTTGATCTGCCCAAAGTGATTTTCGAGCAAATTTACTTTAAGATAGTATATTCAGTTGCTTTTATATCTTGGGTGCAACATACCTACTCTAAGATTAAAAAGAAAAATATTAAATATCTACTTGATATTAAAATTAAATTACCAATGGCCCAAAAGACAGCTGTGCCAGCGTCTGCCCAGTAAAATATAGGCAGGAAGCAGATTCCCACAATAGTATACTGTTGAGACAATGTTAACTCAACGCCGCCTAGTTTTAGTCTGCCCTCTGTGTTCTTCTGCGTGACAAAATAACAAGCAACCAAAAACAAAGAAAGTGATAAAAGAAGTAGAGGAGAGGTGACCCTGTGAAAAAAGAACAAAAAGTACAATTAGAACATTACTCAAATTAGGTTAATAATTCGTATTGTTTACCACTTCAAGAAAGGGGTACCCTTCTATGAGGGGTAATCTTGAGTCCCATCCCTTTACATTCCATGCTGTGCAACCAGTTCTATAACACCATTGTGTGCGACTATCAAACTTGGGCCACCTGACCAGAAATTGGACCAAGGAATCTCCTAATCACAAAGTCAGTACTACGACTGCTCCGCCACAGGAGGCTGACCCAGTGGAAATATTGGAACCAAAATTATCTGTTGCAAAAGAGCATACTGAAGCATGCACTCTCTGCATAGACTTGAAACAGAAGTATCGAAAAACTCTGATTAATTTTTTGTTCATTTCATACATGTATAGTAGCTTTTAACATAAGTAGTTGTTAATTTCCTAGATGCTGTCAATTCTGGGGGCCACTAAGCCTTGCAGAAATAAAATATCGAAAAGCTAAAAATGCGTATCTCAATCACAATGTTGAAGGATCTATAACGTTTTATTTTCTTCAGGGGAAACTTATTAAAATATTTCCTGAGATGATATATTTGGAATAAGTGTAGAACATTTCAAGAGATACTGTTGGTTGGTAAGTACCTAGAAAGAAAAAAAATAAATTAAAAAAAAAAAAAAAAAAAAAAAACTCAAGCAGAGACTTTAAACCTCGCGATCTGGTATACAAATTTGTTTTACTTTAACTATCAATTAGGATCATTTCATACTCAGTTAGGGAGCAAAACCTAACATCAGGGCGCATGAAAGCAAAGTCTTTCGGTTGCTTGCTCTGAGAGACCTCTTGTCATTCCAACCAGCTACCAGGTACTAATAAATCATACAGACTAAAATTAAAAGAGAGCTTGGAGAGAGAAAAATCTTGGCTGGAAATGATTAGGGATTTTTCATTACTTTGCATAATTGAGGCATTTTTCGGTAAAGGGGCTTATGAGACTTCGAATGCTGCTAAGATTTGTGCAATGTAGTTCTCTGGTTGTCAGTAACTTATTTGACTGTTCTGCTATGAATTTTTCCCTGAATCTGCTCTCAGTTTTCCTCACTATAGTAAGGAGGTGAGCTGACTGTGAATGAATTGCATCTGTCGCAAATGCTATACAGAACTGCACAATCGTAACACCTTGAAAACCTCAAATGTCCTTACCGAAAAATGCCTGAATTGTTAAAATTCTACACTGTCATTCATTTTGTGATGATTTCATTCAGAAATGTAGCTGAAAAATGTTTCCAGAAAAGGGGTGAAGGAATTCAAGTTATCCAACTTTTTAAGATTTAAAGAGAATGATTCCACATCTTTTCAACCACTCAACAAAATGAAAATTCGACTGGTCCAAAATATTTCACACTGTTTTGCATCCCTGATGAGCCATCTACACTTTAAACATCCATTATACTTGATAAAGCAGGGGTGCAGAGCACTTTATTAAAAATACTTAATGTAGTTGATACATTTCAATTCATACACCCATTATGTTTAAACTTTCTTTGTTTTTAATATTTCTGCTTGGGTCTGCACAACAAGTCTCTGAGAAAATGTCATAGTTCGGTTCATGACATGCACCCAACAAAGACTCATTTTATAAGTGAAGAGTTTATTTAAAGAACTCTGCAAATTAAAAATGCTAGCTTTTTTTGCTAGTTCATACAGTGGATTGATCCAAAATTTTTGGGACCAGGTACCTGATGGGATAATTCCTACATAATTTTTGGTGCCAAATTTGAGGATATCTTCAACATTTTCTTGTTGTTGTCGTTTCAAGGGGAGATCAAACAAATTTATGAATAGATATTTCCAGTTTTAGTGGGTCAAAACAATGTAAAATGGAAAAATGCTTCGGACGTTTTCCAATTAAGCACCAAAAATTACAAAGAGGATATCCTATCGTTTCATTTTCAGGAAAAAATTTCGTTCTACCTTCTACAGCATTAGAGACAATCAAGAAAGTCTCAAATAGATAATACCATTATGAATGCATTAGGGCATGCTAACCCCAAACGTTTTATGCGTATGTGCGATGTTACTGTTTTGACAGTGATTTTCAGAGTCAGCAGACAGCACCCCCCTCCCCCACTTGCGCTATGTTTCATTTATATTTTTAATTAAAAAATTTATATTGGAATTTTTTAGTCAGTGTGCGTTAAAAATCCAGAAAACTGGAAATCTCGGTACAGAGGGAAAAAGCTCATATGAGCACAATTTTCCCTCAGAGATACGCTACTTGGTGCAACACTAATTACGACCATTCAGGAAGGCAACTGCAGACGGGTCTAGATTTCTCTGGATTTTTAACGCACGTTGGCCAAAAAATTCCAATTTACTGTCTTACGACCCGTGCAATCGTACCGCAATCAGTTTGAAAAAATGTATTGTCCAGTGCAATTATTCAGAGCCATCTTCTTACTAATACCTATATTACATCTAAAGAGTTGTAGAGGCTCCTTCAAAATCAACAATATAAATAAAAAGGTTATCTTTCAATACAATATGAGGTCACAAGGCTCCATGAAAAACTTGTATGCTGGTAGCTTTTCTTGGCCTCTGTCTCTAAGAGAAAAAGCTCAAATTCTTCAAAAATTAAAGTCTCAATTTACCCATTAAGATAATAAAATAAAAATAAACTTATCAAAGAATTACTCACAATCCGTAGATCATAAGGCAAAAGCAGATAAAGAAGTAGTTTCCTTCAAAGTAATTAATGTTTTTAAAAAATCTGCGACTGAGCCTTGGTATGGTAGGAGGCGGAGCTTTGAAGTTCCCTGTGCTGAAAAAAATCAGCCATGGCCTGACATTGTGATAGCGGTTGATGGCCCATTCTCGAATGAAGCCAACTGACAGTGATGCACCTCGAAAGTCCCAGAATGGTCTGTGAATGAAACGTAAATCTACATTATTTTTTGACAGAAATAGAGATTCTCTATACCTACTTAAAAGATACACTTTGCCAGAAAACATCATTCATGTAAATACCACTACCTCATACGTTAGAATCGTTGAACACAGTAGCTCCATAGATTATGAGACAAGCATTATATTTCATTATTAAAGGCTAGAGAAATGCTCAGTGCTCCTTTACTATATATCTACTGGATGTTTCAGAACTTCAAAGTCTTGTGGAAAACACTTAAACTTTGCTTCGTGCTTGTTTCCTTCTTTCTGAACATTGGGAAAAAAAGAGATAAGTGATTACATTTCAATTGTTACAATATTTCTACAGTTGAAGAAAAACTCAAAATCTCGGAGGAAAAGTTCTTAAAATCATGATGTATATTTAGTTTGACTCTTGAAAACTGGAAATTAGTGTATCTCCTCAAGCCTTCTCCTTCCAATAAACCTATAATCATGAGCAAATGGTTAAGTAAAATACAATTTATACAAGCATAAAGCGACATGGAAAAAATTATGGAGAAAGATGGATTAGTGAGTCCGATAGCTTTTCAACACAGGGGTGCAGAAATTTCCAAAACGCTGACCATTTGCTGTGATCTGGCTTTTTTGCCTCACAGCCAAATTTACAGATAAGTTCCATGGAAAGATTTTTAATTTTATGGCTGAATATATCGGACTCCCAGCCAACAGAGCAATGGAGATGTTGCATGTGTGAGGAATTTGCGATTTGACTATTGATTCTTATGTAAAAGTTCGCAAGAAACACGATGGTCTCACTAGTTTTCTCTGAAATCAACTACCAAGCTCAAAAAAAGCTCTTAAGTTGAGGCCAAAATGGAGGGGATAGCCCACGCTATCCTGAGAGTCCACCTCTACATCAAGCCAAACTCTACATACGAAGATAGGGAGCAAATACATTAGCAGGGTTGCTGTGTTTTCAGTTTTAGAGCCCCCAAATAAAATGGCAGCCCTATCAATGTATTTGCTCCCTATCTTTGCATGAAGAGTTTGTCTTGATGTAGAGGTGAACTCTCAGGATAGCGTCGGATATCCCCTCCATTTTGAGGGCTTTTTTTGAGCTTGGGAGTTGATTTCAGAGAAAACCAGTGGCACCATCGTGTTTCTCGCAAACTTTTACATAAGAATCAGTGGTCAAACCGGAAATTCCTCACACATGCAACATCTCCATTTGCTCCCTCATCATCATTTCAAAAAATTTCTTCATGACTCAGGATTCTCTTGACGTTCACTGCTTGAGCTTCACCCCCTGGACCCTTGCTTCTCCGATCGTGACATAGGTTGAGTGGTAAAAATGCAAGGAGCTTAAATTTTCCTAGATTTATTTGCATTATAAATGTGATGTGAAATTTTAGATTGCAGATTTAACGCACATTGAAACAAGATTGTTCTCCTTAGTTATGTGATCCGGATAGAAAGCTTGTCTATAAAATTAATAATCAAGCACACTCCATGTAATGACTGAAGATATATACATGGTTGAATGGATAAAGCGTGAAGTCTTAATTTTAAAATCTAAATTTTCGTTTATACTCCCATTTTCAAAATTATCTGTAAAGACGTTAACAGCCTGAGGGCCAGGACCTTGTCGGGAATATAGCCTAAAAATTAAGGGATCAGTGTTATCAATGAATCGTACAACCTACTAATTAGGGCAAAGTTGGACTAATTCGAAACGACATACAATCATAAGAATGTGGCTACTTCGTATGACTGACAATAAGTAGACTTGGGAGGTTTGTGTCCCTGCATTTTAAAAATAAGCATGGATAAAATTTGATACAAGCCTATCGATTCATTTAGGAACTACAAATCATATACAAACGGTTCAAAAATTCAAATGATATCTCAAATGCTTAGATCTCTCCTGGAGTTCCGTTGTGTGTCCAGGGGGTAATATGATGTAAGAGAATCTCCGAGAGGGGTAACTTCAGAACAGCGGAAGCGATTAAAAAGAACATTCTTTATAAGGAAACTTACTTTCTGTCGGGAATATCAGCGACAGGGCTGATTAGACCCTCTGCAGGAGGGAATACATTTACAACAGTCGGATTATCTGCGGACATGATTTCTGATACTTGCTAACCTTCCAGTGGATGAATCAGGATCACAACATGATGCTGGAACAATTGGCCAAATTGTATATCTTTTCAGTGTGGGTTTCGGTTCGACACAGAGCGCAATTGAAAGAATGAACGAAAAAAAACCTAATGCGCAAACGACAGACGACACATCATCAGTAAATTTTTATCACCCAACGAAAATATGTAATCAGTAATCACCCGTGTGGCGTTCAACTCAAACGTAAACAAAACATTTCAGAGCTCTCTCTCTCTGCTCTCTGCCATCTGCCAACAATGCAATGATGCAAAATTTGATGTCAGCGCTCTCTCTGTACGTAGTGAATAACTAAGTAGAGCATTGAACGGTGCGGTGCGGCATCTCATCAGATAGTTCTGCAAGTGGCCGATACATCGATATGAAGGCGTTTGTTGGGTCGCTGAACATCTCACAGCAAACAGCAGATGAACCACTACACAAGCAAGCGTTTCTGCAATCATCAACAATAACACGATTAATTCGACTGCATTTTGCAATAAGGAACCTTAATTTCAAGCTCTTAGATAAAAACCTCTATCTGCATAAGCTGATTTTAAAATAAGCCAGAAATTGTAGTTCCGAATTGCAAAATGTGGTCCAATTTAGCCTTCTTCTTCTCGATGTAGGCAGTGTAATCTCGGGTTTGTCAGCCTCCACAATTTCTCTACTCTTTTTATTCTTTGAGCATCCGTTTTCGAATAAAAAAAAGAAGTAGGAATAATAAACAAGAAATGAGGAGAGGAGGCGAAAGGATACACTTTATTAGGGGGTCTGAGGGCATAGAGTCGACATCCTATAAACTAAATGGGGTTTGGGGGACTCCACCAGCTCCAACGGACGACTCAGAGAATTTCCCCAATTCCGAAGAGAGGGGAACCCTGGGCTGGGGGTTTCTGCGGGAAAATTTTGCAAACATGAGTCATCCAATGAGCACTTTTGAACTATTTTTAACGGAAAGAACGGAGCGACGAATTTTAATACGAAATGCAGATAGGCCGAAGCGATTGAGATCGAAACTTAAAACAAGTTAGAAAAAAATAGATCTTTGGATATGAAATCGACAGGAATTGAGCGAAGTTTCCCTGTTCAAAGGGGGGTCCAGGGGTCCTGGCGGCCTCCCCAGGGAAAGTTTTAAAATTTGAAAGTTACTAGGGGGCTCCGCCCCCGGGCCGTTTCTAACTCTTCTTAATCCCCTTCCTCACCCTGTTCATCGAACGTCTTAATAATTATTTAGAGAGGATTTGGATCCCCTTCCTCACCCTAGCCATCGAAGGTCTTAAAAATCATTTGATTAAAATAGAAAGGATTTGAACGCATTTTGAGGCTCCCGTGACGGAGAGTGTCCATCAGTTTCTGCAGAATCACGCTTTTTTTACTCTCAGCGCAAAATACTTTCCGAATTTTTGCATTCAATACATCTTGAAAATTTGTGAAATTTTAACTCTATTTGGACGCATTTTTAGGCCTCCATGGTGAAAATTATAGAAAATACTGACTGAATGAACACGGTGTTTTCATTAGACTCTACATCAAGAGAGATGACCATCCTCGACGAAGGTTTTTTCCCACCAGCTAGAAAATCTGAGGGGGGCAGATGATACTATTTTCGATTCCAGGGGGGCCAAGTCCCCCTGCCCCCCCTTTGTACGCCCATAGTGAAATGTTTAGCTTGGGTTCCAAGGTCATTTCAGCTACACAGCATTGCAAAGATTGCATTTTAATGCTGAAAACTGCTAATATTATAAAGTTTGTTTAGAAAAAAATAACTTTAATCAATTATTTTTTTAGTTTCTGGGGCACACTTTTATTAGTTGAGGTCACGTCACGAGTGGATTAAGACTAGCGATCAGTAGTGATAAAGTCACAGACACAGACAGGTGCGCCAGACCATTCTTGCCGGGCATTAGCTCGATTGATGTCTGAGTCTGGAAGGTTAAATTAGGAATGGACCCAAAGGTGGCTCAGAGACTTCAAAGCCATGTACCATCTTGGTCCATTCCCCATTTAACTCCCTTAATTATCCCAAACATCAACCGACTGAAACGTTGTACGTACGCTGTATCTCGACTGGCCACTAGATCACAGTGCCATCAACAGTATTAATCCCCGAGTTATATCAACTGAGGAAATGGTGCTCTCTAAAATGAAAAAGATCGATTAAACTTGCTCTTTAATCAATGAACTTCAAAATATTATCATGTGCTATTGGGCACATTTTTCAATTTAATTTTTTAAACGACCCTTAGGTACAGTAAAGCGAGGAGGGGCTTCTTGTATGCTAAAATTTTAGTCAACATTAGCAACGCATTCAAAGATGTTGAAAATAACCCCTCGATACAACTATTCGTACTCTGAGGACACGCATGTTGCATATGAAAAAATGGAAGGCGCTCCGTCACTATAGCCCATGAAGCAGCTTGCACTCGGCAGCGCCCCCTTACCAATAGCTATGTTTATGCGAGCCTCTAAACCTAACTTCAATCGAAACCTGAGTTTGAAACCAAGGTTCAAATCACGGCATAAACGATGCGGACCTAACGAAATGTAGGTAGGTTTCCGAAATTTGTGTTTGAAACCTTATTTTACACTAAAGACTAGGTTTTTGCATTCCGCATAAACGAACCGGAGGTTGAAATTCGACTTCAAATGAGATTTCCAGGTGGGCGTTCGGCAACATGGCGGATTTGTTATCACAACCTTCGTAAACAACTGGTGCTTTTCCCACGATATTGCTGTAATTTTGCCATTATTTAACATTCTTTATAATCATAATTTTAGTAATTGTTTAAACTGTAAAAAAATGATTATACATCCACTGTCATTTTTCCAACTATTCCTCGGAAACTCAGTAAAGGCTTTTCTAGTGAGGATGAAGCCTCCGCTTATGTATTGTGGAACATCCACGGGATAAGAGAGTAATAATATATTATTGAATCAATTCATAGTGGAAAAATGTAGTATAGCTCGTGAAAAAGGGGCAAACATGAAATTCAAGTTCAATCGAAAATATGATGCGCATAAACAGCGCCAAAATTGGAAAGTTTGATTTACGAAGCGAAAGTCGGGTTACAGCGCCCGCATAAACCCAACGGAAGAAACTCGCATTACAAAATCGGGTTTCGTGAAATCTCGGTCGCGAGCCTCACATAAACGTAGCTACTATGTGACGAGACAAAATCTTTGGATAAAAACCAAGGCGAAGAAAAAATAAAAAGCTATTTCCGCACCATTTTCAAGTATTAGGACATTTTATCCCACCGCCACACCGAGTGGTGACAGCAGCTTGTCTACACGGTTGGACGGGTGGGCGGTTGGGGATCTTCAACCAAAACTTCTGTAGAGAGCTCTTTGAGGCCCCCGCATGAGGGCTTCAAAAAATCACCTAAAGAAAGAGAAAATTTGGACGACTACAAAATGAGTGATATTTGGGCCTCGAAGGTAACCTCGGGGCCCCAGTGTTGACTACGTGGGGCCTGGAAATCCGGGAAAGCACCCAGGTCCCCGACTTTTGAATGAAAGGGCCCTAATGAAAGCGCAGGTCCCCGCCTTTGGCTAGAGTCTAGTGATGGTTCAGGCTATTTGAAATGGGCCAAGACCCCCGACCATTGCCTCCAGGGGACCCTATTGAAAGGCTCGTTACTTCAAGGGGCCCCAGTGATAAAATTTTGGGGGCCCGAACCTCGAAGACTAGTTTTTAGCTTCTTAAACCTTTTGCGAACTTTGGGGGCCCCAATAAAATACTTTGAAGGACCTAGAAAATGTTTCCAAGAATCACGAAAAAGCCCAGTAAAGAGGTGAAGCTCGTCAATTTTGGACACTGAAATATTTCACAAATTTCAAGCTAAAACGGCTTAAATTGATCTGGGAGGGGTTTTTTTTTAAAAAATTTCTCGATAGGAGCCCGGATCCCCACATGCTCTGGGGTTCGGGTGCCACAGACCCCCCCACTAGAACCTCAAGCTGTCTCTGGATCCGCCGCTGTGGGGCCCCTGCGCTAACTTCGCACAACCGTGATTTTGTATCCAGTCCGTCCCTGGCTTGTAACTGCGAGCACTGCCTCAAGTGCCTTATGTTTTAGAGTGACCAAAGTAATCAAAGCGCCTTCAATTTTTCGAATGCAGCACGGATGCCCATAGAGCTCTAGTAGTTGCATCAGGCGTTAGTAACGATATGATTGTCCTTTGCCAACTGAAGCGTGAAGGAAAAACGTCGTATGAACATTCGAGCGTTGCCAAATTTCTTCCGATCGAGTACGAATTTCCTGGAAACCTTGTAAGCTCTCCTTTTTTGTTTTGCGCAGTTTAAACAAAATACACTCCTCACATTCCTCAAAAATAATGTTTTATTAGAGAAAAGTTGATAATGTCTGGATCTTTACGCGGCCGACCAGGTTCAGACGGCATATAACTCGTTTCTCAGAGCGCGCTAGTAACGCAGCGTTTCGCCACGTAAATGGGTGAGGAAATCGAGAGTAGGTAAGAAATGTAATATTATTTCAGTACCCCGGAGCCAAAAGGTACCTAACTCAGATTTTTTACAAAAAAAATCGAGTTAGCGACGTTTTCCGAATCTCCATGTAACAGTTCCTTGATTGAGAAAAATTTGGTAGCCCTGTTTTTTGCCGGTTATGAGTTACGGAGTTTCAAAAATTGCGATTTACATTGGGATCAATGAGGGAGGGTTGACGCGGAGTTTTCCCCTGTTATCTCGAAAAGACGAGGATAGAGCTAGGTACCTTTTGGCTCTGAGGTACTGATTTAATTTCTGAACCATTAATACATATTGGAGATTCTATTCACGACTGAATTCTAGGCAACATAGACTCGATTATGTGAGAGTGTTCTAAATTTTTTTTTTTATTTTATTTTTTTATTTTTTACATAACATACATAAAGCCACCATATGGGGCTATTGTACTAGTCAACATGGTATTTAGTTACAAAAAAGACGTTAAAACAAATTTATCTTATAATAAATTTATAACCTGCAATAACAGCAAGTTGGAAAACAGAGAGAGTGAATACCGTGAGTTATCAATACTAGAACATTAAGTTAGGAAGTTAAGCAGTGGTGAAAAACTCAGAGAGATCTTGAAAGGATTCAGCCAAAAGAAACGATTTCAAATGTGAAAAAAATTTGCTGATCTCTGAGTTCTTAAAGTGAAGTCTAATATTTAGAGGGAGAGCATTGAACAGCTGAATAGAAGCAAACTTAACACT